GACAGCTTGAGACTCTGTCTCAAAAAAAAAAAAAAAAAAGTTAAACATAAATTATTTTATGACTCAACAATTCTACCCATAAGTCTATAGCAAAAAAGAAAAAAATTAAAACACGTGTATTCAAACAAATACTTGCCCATGAATGTTCATAACAGCCCTGTTCACACTAAGTAGGCAAAGGTGTAAACAATTCAATGGTCATCCCCATATGAATAGATAAATTGCAGTATATATTTATGCAACAGAATATGATTCAGCAATAAAAAGGGATGAAGTACTGATATATACTGTAACACAGAATAAGCTGACATGAAAGGTTCCATATTGTATGATTCCATTTATAAGAAATATCCAGAAGAAGTAAATAGAGAGAAAAAGAGATTTGCCAGAGGAGAGAGGCAGGGAGGATTTAATAGGTATATTTAATGGGACCTCCTTTGGAATTGATAAAAATGTTTTGGACTAGTTAAGAGATGATCACACAACATTATGAGTGTACCAAATGCCACTGCATTGTACACTTAAAAATTGGTAGTTTAATATGTGAATTTCATCTCCATAGAAAATAAGTAATAGAGGCTCAGTTCTCCAAACTGTGATGAAGCAGCATGGATGTGAGAATCTCCCCCGCCCACCCCACCAGCTGAAGTTTGAGCCATGTTCTCACAACCTTATTCTGGAAGAGAAGTGCAGAGTTACCTTTAGTTTGGGTGACAGTGAAAGCCTTCTGGTCCTGAGTTGGAGGCTGGAGAGCCCACCCATGGAAGGCCCATCAGGTGCAGAGTTGGCATGAGGCTGTGGGCCACTTATCAGCTGTGATGTCATTGGCAAAGTGTTTCAAAACTCTCAAGGTTAGGACCAGAGCCAGGTTAACAACTGAATGTTAGGGCTTGATGCCTGTGGCTCAAGTGGCTAAGGCCCAGCCACATATACCTAAGGTGGCACATTCAAATTCAGCCCGGGCCTGCCAAACAACAATGATGGCTGCAACCAAAAAAATAGCTGGGCATTGTGGCAGGTGCCTGTGGTCCCAGCTACTTGGGAGGCAGAGGCAGGAGACTCCCTTCAGCCCAGGAGTTGGAGGTTGCTGTGAGCTGTGATGCCAC